TATACCCTTCTCCATCTCTCCATTCCTTTAGAGACTCCAACTGCATGCATATCATGGCACTTAACAAGTTGCCCCATGGCTTCTGATGCTCTTTTTCAAAAATTCTCTCTTCTGTGTTTAATTTTGAATGGCTTATATTGATATGTCTTGCTGACTAATTCTTTCTTCTAAAATGTATAATCTGATGTTAATCTGATCCAGAGTATATTTCATCTCCCACATCTCTAGAAGTTAGATTTGGGCCTTTCCCCCCATATCTTTCATTTCTCCACTTAACATTTTATTATACATTTCTAATAACTTTTAATGCCCTTGTCCGCTAATTCTCACATCTGTGTCAGTTCTGGGTTGGTTTCAACTGTTTTCATATTTTTCTCTTCGTTATGGGTTGTATTTTCCTGCTTCTTTGCATGCCTTGTAGGCTTTGAATGGATGGCAGGCACTGTGAATTTCATCATTAGATGCTGGGTATTTTTGTGTGCCTGTAGATGTTCTTGAGCTTTGTTCTGGGATGCAGTTAAGTTACCTGGAAATAATTCGATCCTTTTTGGTCTTTAAGACTCTTTAGGTGGAACCAAGGTAAGTGTTTACATTGGGCTGATTCTTCTCCACTACTTTTCAGGCCCTTCTGAGTACTTGACCCAATTATGACATACTTCTAGTGGTCTGTGGGAACAGGCACTATTCCCAGCACTGTGTGAGTTCCCTGCTAATGCTTTTGGATAGTTCTCCCCATCCTTGGGTAGTTTCTCACAAGCGTGCACTGACCAGTAGTTGGCCGAGTACCTGGGTGTGGGGAGGCGGGGGTTCTTTCTGCAGATTGCCACAGTTTTCTCTTCATGCAGTGTTCTCTCTGTCCTCTAAATCGTAGCGGCCTTGCTCTCCCTGAACTCTCAGCTATGTCTCTGCCACTCAGGGACTTCCCTGGATTAGGCTGGGTTTCTCCTCCCTGCCCTGTTGCCTGACAACCCTCTCAAGGCTGTACGAGATTCTACTTGCTTGTAGTCCTCTGGGATCTCTGGTTTGTTAATTAAGGCTTTCACTCATTTGCTCCCTTCTCTCAGGGTCTCTGTCCTTCTCTGCCTGATGTCCAGTGTCTTCAAAACTGTACTTTCATATATGTTATCTTTTTGTTTGTTTGTTTCAGGTGGGAAGGTAAATCTCATCTGTATTACTCCGTCATGGCTAGAACTCATTACCCTTTTTTCCCCCTTAATGGATGCAGTGGGGATTGAACCCAGGACCTGATGCATGCCAAGCATGTGCTATACCCTCCACCCCCTTGAACTCATTACTTTTAAGGAGATTTAAATAATAAGGAAAGTCTTTCCTTCTTTTCTACAGGTTGCAGTTTTTGTGTGTGTGTGTGTGCTCTTCTGTTGTATGAATCTAAACTTCCTCTAGTGTCATTTTCTTTCTGTCAAAAGAAGGTCCTTCAACAGTTTTCACACTATAGGTCTGCTGGGGATGAACTCTTTCAGCTTTTTTATGCCTGAAAAAGTCTTTATTTTGCCTTCGTTTTTGAAAGATATTTCCATGTCTCTTCTCAGGAAATTATCCATCATAACAAGAAATAGAAACACCAAATCCATCTTTGATTCTTCCAGAAGATCTCTGTATCCTTGAACCACAACGTCGGAGACAGAAAGCAGATGGTGGAATGACACCTGTGTTGATGATGATGACGACACGTGTATGATGTTTACTGTGTTGGGTACCAGTATCTATCAGAGGCTCAGCAGGCTTAGCAGCAAATTCAAATTAGGTTAATTTAAAGAGGGTTTAAAAAGGGACTTTATACAAAGTTGTGGGAAGAGTATAGAGACAATGAAATATCCTGGGGCTAGTGACATTTGGGCTGTTACCATCCTAGGCTGGAAAGGTTACTGGAACTCAGAGAGAACTCTGTGAGGGGAGCTGTGACTTCATGTCAAGAGAGGCAGCCAGTCCAAGGCAATTCTTTGAGGAGAGAGCTGGGAATATAAATACTCCAACCTCACTCTTTTCCCTCTCTCTGATATCATGCTAGAACTCCACTTGGACCAAATAAAACCAGAAGCTACAAGCAAGAGTCCATTGATGAAGTACATATATACACACAGGCAGATAAAAGGATGGTTTAGGATAGAGTGTCAATTTGGAGAGGTAAATGAAAATAAACCATCCTATAAATTACTACTATTATTC